ACGTATAAGAAGAAAGACTGCTATCATAGGTGGTCTTCACACCATAGTTCTCCTCGTTGAACTTGAACATTTCATTGGGGTCCCATCCGTTGGACTAAGGTGGGAAGGAAGGAGAATGTTTTAAAACCCAACAAGGAAAGCAACAATGACCTGTCATTCTCCTCCACCAGGCTGAAAAAAAAAGGTCTGACCAAACCAGGCGTGGAAAATAGAAACAAGGCTGGCAGGAATATCAACTAGTACTAGCAATTGTAGGACAAACTGCTAACAACTAGTAAACCCAAGGTCTTACAGGACCTAACAAATCCCTTACCAGGTTAATGTCCCAGAAAAATTTAGCGTACGTGCATGGGGACACATGTTCTAAAGTTCAGCAAGGCACTATTTTTTTTTTTTTTTTTTTTGAAAGACAGAGAGAGACAAAGCCCGAACAGGGGAGGGACAAAGAGAAAAGGGGAGACACAAAATCTGAAGCAGGCTCCAGGCTCTATCAGCACAGAGCCCTATGTGGGGCTCGAACGCATGAACTGTGAGATTATGACCTGAACCGAAGTCAGATGCTTAACTGACTGAGCCACCCAAGTGCCCCTGTAAGGCACTATTTCTAACAACAAAATAACGAGTCAAAACACCAACCAGTAAAGAAAAAAAAAAAAATACATTGTTGTATATATATCCATATATATGTATATAAACAGAATAAGACAAAATCACTAAAAGCATTGAGTAGATCATGAAATAACTCAAACATGAAATAATTCAGGAACAACAGAAAGGGAAAGAAAATTCTTGTATGGATTAACTATAGCATCATAATGCCTTAACTCATGAGGAATTTTAAATGATTCATAGTAGTGCTTGTTTTTGGAAGGGACATGGGTCCACACGGTCCTCGATCTTGTCTATACTTTGTTAATTAGGAAAAAAAAAAAACAACACCTTCAAGCAAACGTTAATAGTGGTCAATCGCAGATGTTGGGAGAACAGGTATTTTTATTTTATTTTCTGTACCTTTCCATTTGGAATTGGACTGCCAACAATAGGCAACAGTAAGAGATTTTTCTCCCCTTCCCCAGAAGCAACTCTTGATTCTACGACATCACAGTCAACAACCCACACTCAGACAGTAGAGTGACCCAGCTCTTGGGTTCTCAGGGAAGGGGACCGTACCATGTCAGACTCGAGGTCATAGTCATCACTGTTGCTGTCACCCCCTTCCCAGCGCTGAAGCACCTTCTCTTTGTGCTCCCCATTCACTTTTGAGTTCATGGCAATGGCTGAATCCGTAAACTTGTCTGTGGGGGCAGAGTTGAAGATCAGGAGTCAAGAGATACTTCATAGCCTTCTTCTAACACCCCCTGCCCCCAATGAGTAGCTCAGGAGCAAAGAAAAGTTTGCGTGTGTCAGAGGTGGGTGAGGGTGGATGCAGCATAACAAGCCACATCTTAACTGTCCAAAAGAAGCAAGGAGTTAAAAGCAAAACAAGGTAAATGTGAAGAACTACACCACAGGCCGGAATTCATCCCACTGCATCTTAGGTATCGAGATACAGTTTCAAAAAGAAAAATCTGGCCATCCTCCTCAAAAAAAAGATGTTTGTAAAGGGGGAAGAAGAAGAACAAGTCCTTACGTAACTGCTCTATGCCCTCTACTCAAAGAGTGGGTCTGGCATAAAAACTCGACACGGTACCTTTAGTAGCATAATTGAAGTCAACATTTCGGAAGTGGACAAGCATGACATCACTTGGCTTAAACACCATGGTATCCACAATGTCTTCCCGACAAGGACCACCTGCTGGCTCAGATGCTTTCCGGTGTACAGCATCCACGGCTAGTTCAAACTATAAAAATCCCATTTCCCAACAGTAAAGGGTCAATATCAAGAAATGTGATGGTCAAAATAGGACTATTTTTCTCCTACCCTTTCTAACCTTTTTCCAACACCACAGTCACACAAATAGTCTTCTGAACATTAGCCACAGGACTAGTATTTTAACACTAAAATACCCAGCCCTCAATTTTCCAATCCACATTTTTTCAGTGCTTCCAGCACTACTCTGGTACAGGCCTAGAGAAATGAGTAGCACACACCACAAGCCTGTCCAACACCACTCAACTCACATCTTCAGTGAGTCTATTTCATTCTCCTTACATGCCACTGCAAAAATAAGCTAATTTGAGTCCACTAACCTTTGAGCTCAGAGTCTTGAAGATACCTTCATACGTGGTACCATTCTTCACCTTCACATCACAAGTGGAGCCCTGGAACAGAGGAATAAGAAGAGTGTCTCCAGCAAACTGGCGTACTACATCCCTCAAACAACCTACGGGCTAGGAACCCACTTACCACAACAGCTGTAAGAAAATGCAGCATTCTGGAATTGCTGTAAACACCCTCGAACACCTGTCAGTAACACAGAAAAAATAGACACTTGACACCTCCCCTTCCTTCTGAATATCCACACTCCCCTCACATCATTTCTTATTCTGAGCCCAACTATTTGTGCACCTAATCTGTCCCATATGCCCACATGTACCTCTGTACTTTGGGGTGTGTGTGTTGAGGAGGCACTCACCGGTGACTGTGGGGGGCCCTTTCCTGTGCTTTGTCCCCTATGAGAGGAAACAAAAAACTAGTTAAAAGTGTTTAATCCCTCTTATACGATTTATTTCAAAGAACGTGGTATCCGACAATCACATACCCTGTGAACGTGCCTATTTAGACTACAAACCAATTAACAAGATTTTCAAACTCTCACCTTACAGAGGAAGAAAGGCATAGACAGTAAAAGCCAGTAAACACATTTCCTCCAAATGCCACTAAAACAGACCTCAATCAGCAATGATTGTCAATTCAACACAACCTTCTCACCTCCAAGGGGCCAGGACTACAGGCTTCCCCCAAAAACGCTACAGTAATCGTTAACCAATAATCCACCCCAAACGTAAAAGTGAAAGCAGATTCAAAACTACCCAGGTTTACGCACGTTACCTCTCAAAACAGAAAAGACAATCATTTTCACCAGCCTTACGCCCCAAACTCTGGGAGGAGGGTACTCCTTTTAGGACCCACCCTCCTCTCGACCTCTTTTACTCATTCAATATTACCCACTCTGGGAGGGGTCACTGATCGCCCGGTAACCCTGCTCTTCGCTGGCTGATGTAACCGGCGGTTGAGGAGGGCGATGAGGGGGCCGTTGGCGGGGCTGGGGGACAGCGCAGCCGCAAAAGCCATCCACCGGGAGGCCTCGCCCGGCCTGCGCCTGCGCATTAAAGCCCACGGGCTTCCAAAATCCCCCCTCCGCGGCCAGAACCCACTGCGCCTGCGTGTACCGCCACTCTCAAGTCCATTAACCCACACGCAGAAGAAGCCGAGTGGGGTGCCCACCACTCATCCATGAACACCAGGCGAACCCCGCCACGCACACTCCCAAACCCTGCCCTGTAGGTTACCCGCGGCTCACGAATGCCCGGATCATAAGACAGAGCATCCGCGCGCACGTACGGGAAGAGCGCGCGCGCGCTGGAGGTTCCCTGCCCGCAGTCCTCCCAGTTGTCCCTCCTTCCGTTCCCCCGCCCACCCCGCTACCCTCCTACTGGCCAGACCGGGAAGGAGGTGGTAGCAACCCGCTCCCAAGTCCCTCCCTCCCCATTGGCCAAACTGTGGGCCGCGCGTCCCCCTCCATTGGCTACGGCCGGGGACCCCTTCCCGCAGCTGACTCCCCATTGGCTGAAGCCGGGGACCGCGAGACCCTTCGTGGTAATGGAGCCGGGGACCCCGATCACCTCTTCACCCCCCCAACTCCTCGTTCTGACGGCGCTGGCGGGATGCGCCCCCCCTGCCCTTAAGGCCCGAGCCCCGAGCCCTGACTAGGCTCTGAGAGCTGAGCACGGCCCTTAAATGTCCCGGTGGCCGCCCGGGGACCCCTTCCCTCTGACCTGTTAGGACCTGAGGGGGCCCACCCCCAGCCTCACGGGAATTCCTCACTTTCCCCGGGCGCCCCTCAAAGGTGGCCAAGCTAGGTACCCGCCACGCGCGGTGTCCTCGGGTGCCGGCCGCTGGGCCGGAGCCGAGCGGCCGCCGCCGCCCCGCAGCTTAGCCTCCAGCGCCCGGAAACCCACCCCTCCTCACCTGGCGCTGCCGATAGCCGCTGCCCCTGGCCTTTCCTGATGTTGCTGCGGCTGCGGCGGCTGCGGCGCCAAAATGCCCTCGGCTCCCCGGCGGAGCCCGCTCCCGGCGGCTGCTGCAGGCCCCAAGCAGGGAGTAGCGGCCGCGGGAGGCCCTGGGGGAGCCGAGGTGGAGGCCAGGGGCCCCGGGAGGCCGCCGTTGGGAGGGCTGGTGCCCCCGGGAGGCCGGCGGGCCACGGCCTGTTGCGTGGGGGGCGGCTGCTGGGGCTGGGAGGTCTGTTGTGGCGGCTGAGGCTTCAACATGATGGCAGCGTCCGGAAGGGGAATTAGGGGGAAGGGAGGGAGAGAGGAGGCTGGGGCTAGGCCCCCGCCGGAGAGCGCGGGAAGCGAAGGGGATTGGGAAGCTGGGGACCCGCCGTTGGCGGGCGGGGGGGAGCCCCGCGGTGTCGGGGGTGGACAGAGACGACCGCGGCTCGAGGAAGCGCCGCGAGGCGGAAGGGGAGGGGGGTCCCGCGGGCCGGAGGAAAGCGAGAGGGCGCGAGCCGGCCTGGCGCGCGTGCGCGTCGCCGGGGAAAGAGGAGGAGCGCGCGGGCGGGAGCTCCCGAAGGGGGAGGGGCGGGCAGGAGGGAACGGCGGCGCGAGAGGTCCGCGCGCACCGGGGCGGTTGGCTCCGGGTGGGAGAGGAGAGAAAAAGGCGAATCTCGCACCCCTAGCCTTTGGAGTGGGGAAGGAGCAGCGCGGGCGCTCACGCGCGCCAAAGATTTAGAATCCCTAGGTCTCAAACAGCCCTAGGGGTTGATGCCCGCTGTCGCTTCACAATGAGCGTGTGAAGCGCTAGGGGAGGAGCCGAAGTAGCCGAGAGGAAGGAAGAGCCGGCCGCCCCGCCCACGCCGGTGGCGTAGCGTCAGGATGCCTCCGCATTTGTGTGAGATGTCACGACGTAGCGTGCAGTTCTTCCGCCATTTGGGTGCTCGTGGGCGGAGTCTAAGTGCAAAGAAATCCCGGGTATAGACTAGCGACTGCCCCTCTTCGGGGGGTGGTGGTGGGCTTCTTGAGGAGCTATTCTTGAGCTTGTCTGCTTTAAATAAAAGACTGACAGACACTCAGCATGCTGTAGATAAATATATGCTAAATCCTGAAGTATTTTAAACGTAAGTGATTTAAAACCTAAATGGGTTCTCCGTGCCCTGGAATGAACCCTTAAACTGTAGTGACGGAGAGAATGTTTGAAGGTCAAAGTACTTAGGGTCTAATTCAAAATTCTTGATACTCACCTCTGCGATGAAGCCAGGCTTCATCCATTCAAAATCAGTTGGGCATTAGGACATTAGGCTGGATGCACTGAATACAACTGTAATTTGACCGCTTCGTGTCTTCAAGGAGTTTAAGCTAGTTGTAGACCCAGACAATTAGATGAGATGTATCAGGTGAAGCGTATGAGCACAGATAGGAGTTACACTGAATCCAGCGTTGGGTGATGAGTTGCTAGGCAAGGGGAATAGGATGTGATAAATAAAAGGGGAATAGGATGAGATAAAACGTCAACGTGGCAGGAATACAAAATTAAAGAAGTTTTTATTTTTTTTAATTTTTTTTTCAACGTTTATTTTTTATTTATTTTTGGGACAGAGAGAGACAGAGCATGAACGGGGGAGGGGCAGAGAGAGAGGGAGACACAGAATCAGAAACAGGCTCCAGGCTCTGAGCCATCAGCCCAGAGCCCGACGCGGGGCTGGAACTCACGCACTGCGAGATTGTGACCTGGCTGAAGTCGGACGCTTAACCGACTGCGCCACCCAGGCGCCCCAAAATTAAAGAAGTTTTTAAAAAATGAGACCTGGGGCTAGATTTTAAAGAGACTTGGACATTATGCTCAAAGTAGTGGGGAGCCTTTCACAGAAAAGGAAGAGGCCAGATTTACATTTTTAGAGGAGTACTCTGCAATGTGGAGAATGGAGTAGAGCAGCGATGACTCTGGTCTTAATCCCAGTGAAACTTTCAGTATGTCAATCTTCCTTCACTCCAGGCATTAGCATTGGAAGCCTTCCCAAACCCTCTACCACAAACAGGCACAATATCTAGCTAAAAGTCACCCTTCCTTTTTGGGAAGTATGCCTTCACCCGTGTCTCACTCCAGGCATCGAGTGTGTTAGGTTCCCCTCCTGTGTGCTTGCCAGGCAAATTGCTCCGCTTCGTTCTAAGACCTCCTTTAATTCTGTCTCGCTTGTGTCCGCTCTCTAAGAGTTGGGATCCTACTCTTACTGTACCTGCAGTGCCTCGCACAATACAGGTAGTCAATTGAATACTTATGAAAGAAATGGATCCGAGTGGTAGCTTAAAGACTATGTCTCCTGGATGCCTAAATAATACAGATCTGGCGTTTTCCTGGTATCACTGGCACCACTGGGTGCCCTGCCACCTCTCCAGCCTCTTTATGGGCACTTCTGTCTCCTCCACCTGCAGCAAATTCTAAGTTTTAGCCTCATGAAACTCCCATTTTCACGACACACCTTGCTCTTTTCCAACTCTTCCTTTACTTGTGCTGTTTCTTCACCTACCTTCTCGTTCGTCAAGCTCAGGTGTCCATTCTTTTGAACAGCCTGTTACCGACTCACTCCTTCAGGCTCTCAGAGTACTGGGATGGTTTTGCTTCTACGGACCCCGAGGTTATAAAGGGCAGGGACTATATTTATTCATTTCCCTATCTTTTATGTCTAGCTCAGTGGCTGGCACACAGTCACTCAAATTATTTGGTAAGTGAATGGAACGTTGTCTTACTATATGCAATTTAGAAATTATATCACTGTGATTTGATATGGAATGATTTCCAGGAAGAAAGCAAAGTTTATAGTCTGTGCTACCTCTTGTTCACAGAAGGGAAAATAAAGAAACAAATGTATCTGCAAATTTTTGCAAAGGAAAGCACAAAAAGTATAACCCCCAAACTAATAAAATCGGTTACCTAATGAGGGTTCCTGGGTTGTTGTTTATGTTCTTGTGGAAGGAAACAACAGAGGGCGCCTGGGTGGCTCAGTCGGTTAAGCTTCTGACGTTGGCTTAAGTCGCTATCTGGCGGCTTGTGAGTTCAAGACCCATGTTGGGCTCCATGCTGATAGCTCAGAGCCCAGAGCCTGCTTCAGATTCTGTGTCTCCCTCTCTCTCTGCCCCTCCACCGCTCACACTCTGTCTCTCTCCCTCAAAAATAAAGAAGCATTAAACATTTTTTTAAAAGGAAAACAACAGAGCTCTGGAGAGAGGAAGACACTTCTTTGAGTATAACTTTTCATATAACTTGGACTTTTCAAATCATGTTTTTTTTTTTTTTAATTTTTTTTTCAACGTTTATTTATTTTTGGGACAGAGAGAGACAGAGCATGAACAGGGGAGGGGCAGAGAGAGAGGGAGACACAGAATCGGAAACAGGCTCCAGGCTCCGAGCCATCAGCCCAGAGCCTGACGCGGGGCTCGAACTCACGGACTGCGAGATCGTGACCTGGCTGAAGTCGGACGCCCAACCGACTGCGCCACCCAGGCGCCCCTCAAATCATGTTTAATGGTCAACACTTTCTTTTTTTAAAACTTTTCTTTCTTAAGTTTACGTTGAGAGAGAGAGGCAGAAGAAAGCATGAGCAGAGGACAGGCAGAGAAAGAGAATCCTAAGCAGGTTCCACGCTCAGTATTGAGTCTGACGAGGGGCTCCATCATGAGTTCATGACCTGGGCCAAAATCAAGAGTTGGATGCTTAACTGGCTGAGCCCCCCAGGTGCCCCCAATTTTTTTTTTTTTAATGTAAGCTCTACGCCCAACGTGGGGCTTGAACTCACAACCCCGAGATCAAAAGTCTCATACTTCATTGACTGAGCCAGCCAGGCACCCCTAATGGTCGACCTCTTCAAAAAGTGAAATCAACAGAGATGGACGGTAGCTAAAATCAGAATATAGACATAAATAAACGATCCCAACTCTATTTTAGATGAGTGAAAGTGACCCACTGAAAGAGGAAAAATAGAACTAATTCAAGTAACTTTCAGGCACTCTCTGCCTACAGAAAAAAGAACTGCAAACCTTAAGTTCTTCTTAGTAGTAGGTTTGCTATAGTGATAGTGGCATACCAATTCTGAAATTACCTTGGGTATGGGGATTGAACATGCAAGTAAACAGACATTGCTGAGAAGGAGGATTATCATGCGGAAGTAGGGAAAAGCAAATATGGAAGGAAAGAAGTGAGCAAAACTTTAGTGGGGCTGGATCAGAACAGGAAATATCAGTATAAGATTTATGGGGAAAAAATAGATGATAGATTGACTGATTTACACATACCTAGTTCCCAGATCTTGGCTTCTAAATATTCCACAGAAAGATCCCAGGTCCCAGGGCCCTTTGAAGCTTCCTTCCTGATTCCAGCTTGGGGAGGAGCAAGGAAGATACCAAGGTAGTTTGGAATATTTTGTTGTGCCAGGAAGTAAGTACTAAAAAAAGTATTAGGGCATTAAAGGGACATAGGCACCATCGTGAAGAGGCCAAACCTGACACAGTTTGAGGATCCACAATATAGAAGTATAGTAATAGGTTATAACCCATTGAATAAAAGAGGAATCCATACATCCATACTGTTAATAGGTATAAATATACATGCATACACACACAAAAAGAAACATACAAGAGAAATAGCAAGACTGTATTCTTCAAAACTGTTCCATGGCATGAAAGACAAAGAAAGGTTGAGGAACTGTTCCAGGTTAAAGAAGGCTAAAATGACTAACAATAAATGAACTAGAGGGGCGCCTGGGTGACTCGGTTGAGCGTCCGACTTCGGCTCAGGTCATGATCTCGTGGTCTGTGAGTTCAAGCCCCGTGTCGGGCTCTGTGCTGACAGCTCAGAGCCTGGAACCTGCTTCGGATTCTCTGTCTCCCGCTCTCTCTGCCCCTCCCCCACTCATGCTCTGTCTCTGTCTCTCTGTCTCTCTGTCTCTCTCTCTCTCTCTGTCAAAAATAAATAAACATTAAAAAAAAAAAAGTGAACTAGATCCTGGCCTAGATCCAGGAAGAAAAAAAAAAAAACTGCTATAAAAGACATGGAGAAAATGGACAAATTTGTAATATAGACTGCATAATACATCCAGGATAATTTCCTGAATGTGATAACTATTGTAGATGTGTAAAAGTATATTCTTAGTAAATATGCATTTAAGTATTCTATGGGGTAAAGGAATATGATATATCCAACCTGCTTTCAACTGGCTCAAATTATGTGTATGTATTTTCTTTATGTTCACACAGAAAAAATGATGAAGCAAATATGGCACAATGTTAACTAGTGGATCTGGATAAGCTTTATTTTTCTTTTTTGTTTATTTTAAGATTTTATGTTTAAGTAATCTCTACACCCAATGTGAGGCTCAAACTCACAACCCCAAGATCAAGAGTTGCATGTTCTGACTGAGCCAGCCAGGGGCCCCATTCCGGGTAAACTTCATACTGAAGTTCGTTGTAGTAGCCTTTCAACTTCCTTGTAAGTTTGAAATTTTGTTCAAAATAAAGAATTTACATATAAATAAGTAAATGTCATTGTAACACCCCTAAAGTTAGGGAAAGGAGTAAACCACGTAATTATATCTACTAAACATCCACAAACTCATTGATGAATTAAGCGAGGAGTTTTTAATTCTCAGGAATACCCTTAGGCACTACACCAGTGTTCCCGGCATTTTATCCGCGTGTATCTGAGAAGTAGTCCCCGTTTGAGGCTCAAATGATACTAGGACTCCACTTATACGAAACAGTGAGGGCATATTCCTCACTTAAGACATGTCAGAGAGTGGCTGGGGCAACAAGATGAGATGTTCCTTATGATGAAAATTCGACTCTATCTCCCCAACACACATCCTACAAGGACACTCTTCCCCCATAAATGCCAAAATGTTTTTCAAGAAGAGGCAGCATCTGGTAGCAGAAACAATACAGGCCTAACAGGATATGGCCCCGAAGAGAAGAATTCTAGCTCTGCCTTTGTCTTTTACTAAGTCTACCGACTACAGCAAGTGATTGGACCTCTGAGGCCGCAGTCTCTGTCTAAAAGGAGAGGTCAGAATAGACGAAGGGTACCAAATTCAAATGGCTACATGAGAAAGCTGGTAATAAAAAAGAGTGAAGCAAGGAGGCACCGTGACAAACTGGACAGCATGCGCTCTCTCTAAAAGGGGTCCCTGAGTGGCTCAGTCAGTTAAGCCTGTGACTTTGGCTCAGTCATGATCTCACGGTTCATGAGTTTGAGCCCTGCACTGGGCTCCCTGCTGATAGCACAGAGCCTGCTTTAGATCTTCTGTCCTCCTCTTTCTGTGCCCCTCCCCAGGTTATGCATGTGCATGTGAGCTCTCTCTCTCTCAAAAATAAACATGTTAAATAAAGAAATAATAATGAATGAATGAATGAATGAATGAATGAATGAAAGAGATACCTGCTTCTCAGTTCCAATCAACTTCTGCCGGTAGGGTTGTGTTCTAGGATTGCCAGAGATCTTGACATGGAACGTTCTCCAGAATAGATCACATGCTAGGCCACAAAACAAGTCTTAACGAATCAAAAAGATCAAAGTCATACCATGCATATTTTCTGACCACAACACTATGAAACTAGAAGTCAACCACAAGACAAAAGGTCTGGAAAGAGCACAAATCCGTGGAGTTTAAATAACATGTTACTAAGCAATGAATGGGTCAACCAAGAAATCAAAGAATAAATAAAAAAATTACATGGAAACAAATGAAAATGAAAGCATAATGGTCCAAAAATCTTTTGGATGTAGCAAAAGTGATTCTAAGAGGGAAGTTTATGGCAATACAGTCCTACTTCAAGAAGCAAGAAAAATCTCAAATAAACAACCTAACCTTACACCTAAAGGAGAAGGAGGAGGAGGAGGAGGAAGAGGAGGAAGAGGAAGAAGAAGAAGAAGAAAAGAAGAAGAAGGACGATGACAATGACAATAACAAAACCCAAAACCAGCAGAAGGAAGAAAATAATAAAGATTAGAGCAGAAATAAATGATATAAAAACAAACAAAAACACCCACAATAGAACAGATCAATAGAACACCCAGGAGCTGTTCTTTGACAAGATCAACAAAATTGATAACCCCCTAGCCAGACTTATCAGACAGAGAAAAAGAGAAAGAGAGAGAGAGGACTCAAACAAACAAAATCACAAATGAAAGAAGAAAAATAACCAACACCACAATTTCTCAGAAATACAATTATAAGAGAATATTATGAAAAATTATATGCCAACACATTGACCAACCTAGAAGAAATAGATGAATTCCTGGAAACATAAATTACCAAAACTGGAGCAGGAATAAATGGAAAATTTCAGCAGACTGATTACCAGCAATGAAGTTGAATCAGTAATCAAAAAACTCCCAACAAAAAAACCCCAGGACTAGATGGCTTCACAGGTTAATCCCACCAACCATTTAAGGAAGAGTTAATGCCTATGCTTCACAAACTATTCCAAAAAATAGAAGAGGAAGAAAAACTTCCAAATTCATTCTATGAGGCCAGTATTAGCCTGATACCAAACCCAAATAAAGACACCACGAAAAAAGAGAACTGCAATGTCAATATCTCTGATGAACATGGATGCAAAAATCCTCAAGAAAATACTAGCAAACCTAATCCAACAGCACATTAAAAAAACTATATGCCATGATCAAGTACATTTATTCCCAGGATGCAAGGTGGTTCAGTACTCACAAATCAATCAACATGATACATCACATCAATAAGAGAAAGGATACAAACAATATGATCATTTCAATAAATGCAGAAAAAGCACTGGGCAAAGTACAACATCCATTCATGATAAAAACCCTTAACAAGGTAGGTCTAGAGGGAATGTACCTAACAAAATAAAGGCCATATATGAAAAACCCACAGTGAACAGAGTTTTTCTCCTAAGGTCAGGAACAAGACAAGGATGTCCACTCTCACCCCTTTTATTCAGTGTAGTACTTTAGTAGTCTCAGCCATGGCAATCAGACAGCAAAAAGAAATAAAGGACATCCAAATTGAAGTCAAACTTTCACTATTTGCAGATGACATGATACTATATATAGAAAAGACTCCACCAAAAAATCACTAGAACTGATCAATTCATTCAGTAAAGTCACAGGGAACAAAATACATGTACAGAAATCTGTTGCATTTCTATATGCTAATAATGAAGCAGCAGAAGGAGACATTAAGAAAACAATCCCATTTACAATTGCACCAATAATTTAAAAAAAAATAGCAGGAATAAACTTACCCAAAGAGGTGAAAGGCCTGCACTCTGAAAACTATAAAACACTGATGAAAGAATTTGGAGATGACACAGAGAAATGGAAAGATAGCCCATGCTCATGGATTGAAAGAACAAATATTGTTAAAATGTCTATATTACCCAAAGCCATCTACAGATTTAATGAACTCCCTATGAAAACACCAACAGCATTTTTCACAGAACTAGAACAGACAATCCTAAAATTTGTATGGAACCGCAAAAGACCCCAAACAGCTCAAGGAATCTTGAACAAGAGAAACAAAACTGGAGGGATCACAATTCCAGACTTTGAGTTATATCACAAATCTGTAGTAATCAAATCTGCATGGTATTGGCACCACAATAGGCACATAGGTCAATGGAACAGAATAGAAAACCCAGAAATAAACCCACAGTTATAAGATCAATTGATATTTGACAAAGCAAGAAGGAATGTCCAGTGGGAAAAAGATAGTTCTTCAACAAATGGTGTTGGGAAAACTGTACAACATGCAGAAGAATGAAACTGGACCACTTTCACCACACACAAAAATAAACTCAAAATGAATTAAAGACGTAAATGTGAGACCTGGAACTATAAAAATCCTAGAAGAGAGCACAGGCAGTAATTTCTCTGACATTGGCCATAGCAACATTTTTCTAGATGTTTCTTCAGGCAAGGGAAATAAAAGCAAAAATGAACTGTTGGGACTTCCTCAAAATAAAAAGCTTCTTCACAGCAAAGGAAACAATCAACAAAACTATAAGGTGAAAAAGCAAAAACAAAAAACTCCTAACAGGCAATCTACTGAATGGAAGAAGATATTTGCCAATAACATATCCAATAAAGGGTTAGTATGCAAAATATATAAAGAACTGATAGAACTCAACAGCCCTCAAACAAATAACCCAATTAGAAAATGGGCAGGAGACATGAACAGACATTTCTCCAAAGAAAATATCCATATGGCCACCAGACACATGAAAAGATGCTCAACATGACTTATCATCAGGGATACGCAAATCAAAACCACAATGACATTATCACCTCACACCTGTCAGAATGGCTAAAATCAAAACCACAAGAAACAACAAATGTTGGTGAGGATGTTGAGAAAAAGGAACCCTCCTGTACTATTGATTGGAATACAAACTGGTACAGCCACTGTGGAAAATATTAAGGAACCTCCTCAAAAATTTAAACATAGAGCTACTCTATGATCCAGTAATCGCGCTACAAGGTGTTTACGCAGAAAATACGAAACACCAATTCAAAGGGATATGTGCACCCCTACATTTATTGCAGCATTATTTACATCAGCCAAATTATGGAAGCAGCCCAAGTGTCCATCGATAGACGAAGGGATACAGAAGATGTGGTACACACACACACACACACACACACACACACACACAGAGGAATATTATTCAGCCATAAAAGAATGAAATCTTGCCATTGCAACAACATGGACACAACTAGAGAGTATAACGCTAAGTGAAATACGACAGAGAAAGATAAATACCATATAGTTTCACTCATATGTGGAATTTAAGAATCAAAACAAATGAATAGAGGAAAAAAGAGAGAGACAGAGACAAACCGAGTAACAGACCCTTAACTATAGAGAACAAACTGATGGTTACCAGAAGGGAGAGGGGTGGTGGGATGGGTGATGGGGGTTAAGGAGTGCACTTGTGGTGATGCGCACAGGTTGATGTATGAAACTGTTAAATCACTCTATGGTACACCTGAAACTAACAGAACACTGTATGTTAACTGTACTGGAATTAAAATTAAAAACTCAATGAAAAAAAATACCTCACAAAGATAAAAGAAAAGTATACTCTCAGGAACTTGGAAATAACTACAGGTTGAGACCATGGATCAGCTGATCCCCTTGGAGTTGGAATTGAGCTAAGAATCCATCTATTACCTGACCACCTTCAGCCCCTACCTTGATTGGTGGGCCATAGCACCATTGGATCCCCCAAGGAATTAGCATCAATTCAGAGCCAGTATCTAGTAATTCTCAAAAGGTCTGGGTATTTTCTTTCCCCTAATACACAGTTTCTCCAACAAACCTCCACAGTTCCTTTCTCAAGGAGATGTAATCTCCCTTTTAATCAAGGTGCTCTGAGTCTATGCTGACTTAGGTCTAGAAACTAGGAGAGAGACTGTGGCTTCCCAATGTAGTGACTCAAGTTAGATTTCTTGGCTACCAGAGCAAGATTTTTTTTTCTGTTACACAGATCAAACAACTTTTTAGTAGGCTGCTCATCCTTTGGTTCTTAAGAACATGGTGACCAATCAGCCACTGCCAAAGATTGCTGTGGGCCAAAGTCTTCTGATTACTGGCATGTCTCTGCTGCCCTTTACAGCAGATGTACCCATCATACCTTTGGTGGAAATATACTGTCTATAGCCTCTGCTACTTCAGGTTCCTGTCCTCACCGAAATCAGAGAGCCCACGTGATAAACCCATTGCGTGGTGAATCCTCTATGGAATACCTGGCTTACACAAACACAGAGCAACAACAGAGATTTTTCAGTGATGCAGGCACTTTCCTCACCAGTGTATTTCCCAATGCCTTAGTGAAGGAAATATCTTCTAGGAAGTCTCGTGGAATGCGGTTAGGAGGGAGGTATGTTGATTGCACATGATAAGTCTACTCCGATACTCCTATCTCGCTAAGCCTTTGGATTCTTTATTCCACATTATGAAGGGAGCTCGGGCATCCCAACTCCATTATGGTAGGCCAGTGCTGAGTTTAAATTTCAGTCAGCTTACCAAGTAAACTGTTAGGACCACTTCCATCTGCATGAGTCGACACATCTCCAGACTCTCTAGTAAGTGCACCCACATCAAAGAATTTGACCCAACCTAGTGCTCTATTTTGCTCAACTTGGCCTAATATCCTTAGGATCCCCTTCCATACATATTCTCCAGGTGTTTGCTGATATGTCTTGGTCAAGTCTTGTCCTTTTAGTGTGTAAGTTATTTCCTCCTAAGCTATAGTGTGCACCTAAATCCTCTGGACTCACTGAAATCTGACCCTTATTATGGGTCTAATGGCATCAAGAAGGGGTTGTGATGGTTTAAAAAAAAAAATTTTTTTAAGTTTAGTTAAAAAAAAAACTAAACTTATTTTGAGAGACACAGAGACAGCACAAGGTGAGAGAGGGAGAGAGAGAGAGAATCCCAGCAGGCTCCATGCTGCCAGTGCACAGCCTGACGTGGGGCTCGAACCCATGAAACCATGAGATCATGACCTGAGCCGAAGTCGGAGGCTCAACCGACTGAGCCACCCAGGCGCCCCGGGAAGTAATCTTTGATAACATTTTTTTTTTTACATTTCTATGATTTTTTTTAATTTTATTTTTTAAAATTTACATCCAAATTAGCATAGAGTGCAACAATGATTTCAGGAGTAGATTCCTTAGTGCCCCTTACCCATTGAGCCCATCCCCCCTCCCACACCCCCTCCAGTAACCCTCTGTTTGTTCTCCATATTTAAGAGTCTCTTGGGGCGCCTGGGTGGCTCAGTCGGTTAAGCGGCCGACTTCGGCTCAGGTCATGATCTCGCGGTCCGTGAGTTCAAGCCCCGCGCCGGGCTCTGTGCTTACAGCTCAGAGCCTGGAGCCTGTTTCAGATTCTGTGTCTTCCTCTCTCTGACCCTCCCCCGCTCATGCTCTGTCTCTCTCTGTCTCAAAAATAAATAAACGTTAAAAAAAAAATTAAAAAAAAAGAGTCTCTTATGTTTTGCCCCCCTCCCTGTTTTTATATTATTTTTGTTTCCCTTCCCTTGTGTTCATCTGTTCTGTGTCTTAAAGTCCTTATATGAGTGAAGTCATATGATATTTGTCTTTCTCTGACTAATTTCGCTCAGCATAATGCCCTCCAGTTCCATCCACGTAGTTGCAAATTGTGTGACTGTTTTAAGGAGGATGAACATCTTCTTCCAAGGAATCTGTCCCAGGTGAGGTTATCATGGAGTTTTCAATAATCTCCCCAGATATTGGAAGGCAAGAGACTTCTACTGGCAAGCACTCAGAAAACTGATTTTCAGCTTCATCATGGTTCAATAAGGCGTTCCTATTCCAGGTTTCGGGATCCCATTTTTTTATTTTTTAATTTTTATTAAAAATTTTTTAAATGTTTGTTTATTTTTGAGACAGAGACAGAGCATAAGCAGGGGAGGGGAAGAGAGAGGGAGACATAGATCCGAAGTAGGCTCCAGGTTCTGAGCTGTCAGCAGAGTCCAACGTGGGGCTTGAACCCACAAACCGTGAGATCATGACCTGAGCAGAAGTCAGATGCTTAACCGACTGAGCCACCCAGGTACCCTAGGATCACATTCTTTCACAATCAGTGTCCAGAATTTCACATAAGAAACTTGTAAGACTGGGAATTTAACTGTTATTGTAATTCATTAACTCACAGAATTCGTTTTTAAAATTTTTTTAAATGTTTATTTATTTATTTTTGAGAGAGAGAGAGGGAGAGAGAGAGAAAATAAAATGAGCCCACAGATGGGGGAGGGGCTCAAACCCACGAACTGCAAGATCATGACCTGAGCCGAAGTCGGATGCGCAACCAACTGAGCCACCCAGCCACCCCACAGAATTCATTTTTAAAACCAGCTTAATTAATCCATAAGTGAACACATACCAAGTGAAAATTTTGATATATTTTGACATATTCATATACCTGTGAGACCATCACCACAGCAGAAATAGTGAACACATTCATTACTCCAAAAGTTTCCTGGTGACCCTTTGTAATCTCTCCCACCTGCCCCTCTCCACAACCCCCCATCCTCAAGAAACCACTGATCTGCTTTCTGTCACTACAGATTATTTGCATTTTCTAGAATGGGAGTCGGCAAACATTTTCTGTAAAGGGCCAATAGTAAATATTTTAGATGTGGACAACAGGCAAAAATGAAGATATTATATAGGTACTTGTATAGCAAGAGAGAAAAAAATTTTATTTGTGAGATTAAAAGAACAATAATTGAGTCCAACTTTTGTAATACAAATCTACTAATGCAAAGAAGTTTCTATAACATTTTATTTAATTGATGTTCAGACTCAGTGTTCCCTCTCATCAAAATCTATCACAAACATTTATCTGTTAAATCTGATTTGTAACACAATGTTTAAAAATGTCTTCCACCCTGGGGCCCCTGGGTGGCTCCGTTGGTTAAATGTCTGACTCTTGATCTTGGCTCAGGTCTTGATCTCAGGGTCGTGAGTTCAAGCCCTGGACTGGGCCCCATGCTGGACGTGGAGATTAGGTGTTGCCAAATACAGATGTCAATTCATAAGTATATGATTTTACTTCATCATATTCATCATTTGAAAATCAATTATAGAATCCTATTAGAGTGTTCATCTGCTATTTGCTGTTTAGCATTTCACCACACTGGAGTTTGATCACTTCCAACTGAAGGTTAAGTGGAATTGCCTCAATCACACAAGTGGATTTTGAAATATGGAAACTTGCTTTGTACTTGTTTTGAAGTCCTAAAAATGCTGCTGGAATTGTAGTTTGAGTTTGGAAAATAAAGCTACTACAAATGTATGTGGGCATGGAGATCTTTTTTACTTTTTACTTTTTACATCATGTGTATAAAGCAGCTTGACATTAGTTGTAATTCAAACAGTATTATCAAAATTACTTCAGAGCAATATAAGTTATGTATATAGGTGCTATTTTGCCTTATAATTTTAGGTCGAATTCATTAAGAAACCTTGTCAAGTCTGCAACAAAAGCTAGTTACCAAGGCCATTCAGTGTTTGACGTCTGTGTCTCCCTCTCTCTCTGCCCCTCCCTGACTCGCACTCTGTCTCTGTCTCAAAAATAAATAAACATTACAAAAAAGTTTTTTTAAACCCTGAGCTCAAAACACCCCAGTAGAACTTTGGTACTAAGACATCAAATTGCTATGTGGTAGGGTAAGTCAGAACATTCAGCTTCTATTTCTAACAAAAATTTATAATGGTTAAGTCCACAAGAACAAATGAAATTCATGTAATAGATTCAAATAATTTCTGCAAAGTATCTACTGATGAATAATACAATTAATAATTACAGGCTTTAAACACCCTTCATTATCACAAGGTTTGTAAATTTGTTTGACGAAGACCTTTTCAACTCAACGTGTATTTTTATCAGCATTGGTGGTAACACATCTTAGCAGGTTCCACTTCAGTTTGTGATGAATTAGCGTTTCCTCAATTTATTTAAAAATATTTTTGCCTGTTATTCCACCCAGATTATTCACAGAAGCTAATTCTTGAATCATTTCCAACTCACCACTGATTCCTCAACTAAACAACACCAAATAAGTAGTATTGGTAGCATCTACTAAGTCATTAAACGTCCGGAAGAACCACTTGAAATCTTTGTCTTGTTTTTTTGTTTTTTTTTGTTTTTTTTTAATTTTTAATGTTTATTTATTTTTGAGAGAGAGAGGCAGAGCCTGAGTGGGGGAGGGGGAGAGAGAGAGGAAGACACAGAATCCAAAGCAGTCTCCAGCCTCCGAGCTGTCGGCACAGGGCCTGATGTGGGACTCGAACTCATGGACCTGAGCCGAAGTCAGACACTTAACCGACCAAGCCACCCAGGAGCCCCTGTCTTGTTTTTTAATTGTTATTATGTTGCCTTCGATTTTCTAACTCTTTGAGCAACTCTTCTCACTTAATGGCTAATAGTCTCAAAACAAGTTTATTTTCTCTGGCTATTTTTCTTTGGCTATTTTTGTCATCAAATATGATTTAATGAATAAACTACTTGGAAACTGTGGTTGTAGTCTTCTGTATTTTTTATTTTTTATTTTAAATTCTGCTAAAAGCTACTTTAAGTTTTCTTTTGTTCCCCCTAACTATTGCTTCTCTGTGAGTTAGGAATATTACGACGAGTATGATGAGTACCCAATCTGAGAAGTCAATGTGCATTGTTCTTTTGGTTTGTGTTTTTGTTTTTTGTTTTTGTTTTGTTTTTGAGAGAGGGAGTGAGAGAGAGGAAGCATGCGTTTGCATGTAAGCAGGGGAAGAGCAGAGAGAGGGAATCTGAAGCAGGCTCCAAGCCCAGTGTGGAGCCCAAGGGAACGTGGGGCTCTATCTCACGACCGTCAGATCCTTGACCGAAGCTGAAATCGACAGTCAGCCACTTAACCGCCTGAGCCATCCCGGCATCCCAAGGTCAATGTGAATTGTGTTCTAGCACCCCTTCAGAGTCACTAAACCATAAACACAATGCGTTGCCACCTAATTCAGGAACAAAATAACCTATACTTGAGTGCCACCTTTTTTCTTATTTTGACTTGAACTGGTAATTTTTTGAAGAAAAATCACAGTATGGCACTGGAAACCCTTGTCACATTAAACTGTGCCACTGTGACTTGCAGCACCTCTAGGAGCAGCTGGAAGTGACAAGAGTGCCAGAACACTCTAGTCTCTTTCCCAA